AGTTCGCTAAACTTTGGCACTTCCATATACATTCAAATATACTGCGATCTTTTCATTTCAATTGTATACTGAAACATTACAGTTCGTATATTTACTATAAATACATCCATGTTAACTTTTTTATGGATGGCAGTGTATGACATCCACATACATATAAACATAGAACAACCAACACATTTTAATCCATGAATGACAATTGGTACATCCACTCAAATATATCCATAGATGCTAGTTTGTGGATGGCTGTATATGTATATGATATCCACATGCATGTATATTGAAGCATCTTCCATGGATGGACGCTCGTGGATGCAATCGATTTCGCCACTCTAAATATATTAATGGATGGCAATCTGTGGATGAGCCTACCTGAGTTCTGGCATAAACTCGCCAGAAAATCAAACAACCCTCCAAAGAATGTTTCACTGATGAAGTCAAACTCCAGTAAATCCTGGAGAACGTCGTCAATAGTAGTCAGCAAATTTAGTTTTGAGTGCCCTATATGACATCCACATGCATGTATATTGAAGCATCTTCCATGGACATACGCTTGTGGATGTAATCGATTTCGCCACTCTAAATATATCAATGGATAGAAATCTGTGGATGAGCCTACCTGAGTTCTGGCATAAACTCGCCAGGAAATCAAACAACCCTCCAAAGAATGTTTCCCTGATGAAGTCAAACTCCAGTAAATCCTGGAGAACGTCGTCAATAGTAGTCAGCAAATTTAGTTTTGAGTGCACATTTACTCTCGTCGCCGAAATCGATTTGTAACAACTGTGGCAGATGATTCTTGTCCAGTGCCGGAATTACCTCCCCTCTCTCGTCTGAACCAAAAAAATCTCACACAGATCCATAAAATTATGCAGATCCAAGCCACCAAAAGTATTTCGAGAGTAAATCCGAGCCATAAATACAAACAAAAACATTGATAAAGCGATGTCTATACCGTCTAACTTTTCTGGAAGAAACGGAGATCAAAGATCTGGTCAATCACTAGGGTTTTGTCGTTTCAATAAAATTTGCTTTTTTAAATATATAAAATTTTAATAATAAAAACAGATAAAATAATGAGAAAATAATTGATAAGAACAAAATTATCCATTTACACTCAATAAGTACTCATGTTGGGCTAAGTGCCTTTTTCTGTAACCACTCTCTCCAAAATGTCTTTTAATGTAAATGTCTCTTTCCCTATCTCTTATTCTTCTTCTTTTTTCTTCTTTTTTTTTCTTCTTCTCTTACTCCTTTATATTCATTTCTTCTTCTTCCCTTTTTTATTGTTTTTCTTATTCTTCTTTCTCCTTCTCCCTCTCTATTCTTCTGTTTCTTCTTCTTCATACTTTTTATTCTTCTTCTCTCTTTCTATTCTCCTCTTATGTTTTGTCTTCTCCATTCTTCCTTTTCTTCTCCTTCTCCGTTCTTTCTTCTTCTTCTCCGTTCTTCTTTTTCTTCAATCTTCGTTCTTCTTCTTTTCATATCCCTTTTCCCTCCCTCTCTCTCTCTCTCTCTCTCTCTCTCTCTAACTGCTTAAACTTTTGAATTCATTGGTTGTGTGCTTTTCTTTTCATATTCTATTTCCTTAGAGTGTTTGCATGTCCTAAAAAATTCGATCCGATGCATATGCTTCCCTCTCGTAATCAATGGTTTAAGAAGCTAGAGGATATTACAGTGAGGACACCGCGACTGAACTGCAGGAAAAGTTTATTTTAATTCTAATAACCACTTTTCTTTTAGTTTATTTTATATTTAAAAGCATCGAGGGCACGCGATTTCTGATAGGTTAGAGGATGCAATCCTGACCGTATGATGACAATGGTAGCACCAGTAGAGGCCAAAAGTCCTAAATGCTCCATTGGGTGGACCATCGGTCCATGTTATGGGCAGACTCAATGACATGATTCAAAGAAAGAACTATTATATACAACACATACAAATATTTACAGATTATATAGATAAATTTTAGAAGGTTACCTGAAGCAATTGAGATTCTGTTAAAATAAAAGTCTTGTTTTCTTTGGAAGGTATCAGATGGTTGAAGACGCCATGCAAAGCTCATTTCTTATAATTTTCTATTCTTAAAGATTGCCTCTTTTTAAAGGCTAGAATCATTTCTCGGATCCATTTATTTAAGTCCCGGCATGTTATAGGATATTGGCCTTATTTATTAATTACAATCTCTAGGGAGAAAACAATCTTTAAGCAAGTAAACATAAAATATGATCATGCAGTATTCCTTATTTTAAAATTTGGATAGAATATGATTAGGGTCCTTAAAAGTGTTTTTGCTAACAAAATTTTATTGTTGAATTAATGCTCATACAATAATATAAAATGATTATCTTTCTAATATAGTTAGTCACCATAATTTATAATCTATATAGCTACGGATGATATTATTAATTAAGTTAGTCGAGCATGTAAATATATTTCTATTTAACCATGTTATTCTCTGGAAACTTTTTTTTATAGAAAATCCATTATGGAACACGCTGTGTGAATACATGATCAACAAACATAGCTCAGTTCTAAAAGAACTGAGAAGAGGAGAAGAAATACGCTAAGTTTATAGAAAAATGTGTTACGTTTAAGTCACGGTAAAGAAATTCAAGAGATAAGAAGTGGCCATTAGCATTTAAGTCAAGGAATTCAGATATATGATTATAAACAATGCTTGTATTACGTGTCTACTCCTTTGTGTAAATAAAAGTAGTTTACCATGCAGTACACAAGTATTTGCATGCTCCACCTAGAATGAATATCATCAAGAAAACCGTTATGATATATATAAATATGCTGATGTTAGAATGCTAGGGATCGAAACTCTAGGTATGATAATTATACAAAATTATAAGCTAAATCCTCATCGAAATTCTATGTATGATATCTAAACAATTTAAAACTTCGATTAGGGTTTACCGGTTCTCAAGCAAGGAGAAAGAATTTAGGAAGACAACCAGACCTTCTGTTCAATAAGTGAAAACTAAATAATTAAAGAATCCAATGGAAAAGACAATATAAACAAATGGAACGTAAAGTAGAATAAAAAAGACAAAGCAGAATAGTCTCGAGCTAATTAGTGAGTCCACCTGAAAATAATTTTTAAACCAGAATAGAGAATTTAAAAATATACTACACTAATCACCTTCTTAATTACTGATGTCGACCCCTTTTCGCTCGTTAGAAAAGCTTCTTTTCAATAATCTAAAAGGAACAAAATTGCAAAAATATATAATATATGGCTTTCAGGCTTTTGTTTAGGAGGTGTATTTATAGGTTTTTAAGAGAAGAGAATACGGGAAAAACAAAAGCTAATCACATTCTTATACATTCAGAACTACAGCAATCGTTTGTTTGAAGATCCACTCTTCAATAATTAAGAAAAAAGAATAAAAAAACGTAATTACAAGCCTATATTCAGAAACACTAAAATCGTAAACAGCAGCAAAATTAAAACACTAAGCCGTAAATGAAGATGGAAAGAATAACCTAGACATAACATTAGTCCTTATACAATGGGTACACGATGTATGGTTTCGATTAAAACCGAATAATTTTTTTATGAACCCAATCATAAAGCCTGTCTACGTATCTGAAAAAAAAAACACCAAACAAAGCCCAAACAATTACTAAAAAACCAATGATTATAATTAGAGATGTCAATTTAGGTCAAAGCCCGAAATCCAACCCGGTCCAGCTTTGAAAGATATCGGGTTTGAGCTTTGGTATAAAAGCCCAAAAAAAATTGGGCTCTCGGATTTACCCGAAAAGCCTTGTAATTTATTTAGAAACTTTTCTAATACTCTTTATTAATCTAAAACTTTAATTTTTAGTTGTGTACCTTCATATTAACATCAAGGCTCAAACTCAACTAGTTTCAAAAAGCAAGAGTCTTCAACCTATCTCGATTCTACCGTTTCTACTATTTAGATTACTTATTTATTTATTTACATTTGATATTATAATTTATATGGATTTACTAAGTTAAAATTTTACTTTTAGATTTGATAAAACTATATTTATGATTATTTAAATTTAGATTTAATTTTAATAACCACTTTTCTTTTAGTTTATTTTAGATTTTATACTAAATAAATATTAACAATTGTACAAATTTGAGTTTATAATAATTTAAATTTATATGTTTATTCTTTTTCTTCTCCCTCTCTCTTATTCTTCTTCTCTTTTATTTTTTTTCTTCTTCTCTTACTCCTTTATATTAATTTCTTCTTTTTCCTTTTTTTGTTGTTTTTCTTATTCTTCTTTCTTCTTCTCCCTCTCTTTTCTCCTCTTTTCGTTCTTCTTCTTTTTCTTCTTTTCCATACTTCTTACTCTTCTTCTCTTATTCTATTCTTCTTCTTATGTTTTGTCTTCTCCATCCTTCCTTTTCTTCTCCTTCTCCGTTCTTTCTTCTTCTTCTTCTTCCTCTTCTTCTTCTCCGTTCTTCTTTTTCTCCAATCTTCGTTCTTTTTCTTTTCATATCCCTTTTTCCCTCACTTTTTCTCGTTTTTGTTTTTGTTTTTTAAAGAATCTCTCTCTCTCTCTCTGCTTAAACTTTTGAATCCATTAGTTGTGTGCTTTCCTTTTCATATGCTCGTATTCTACTTCTTTAGAGTGTTTGCATGTCCTAAAACGATGCATATGCTCCCCTCTCTTAATGGATGGTTTAAGAAGCTAGAGGATATTACAGTGAGGACACCGCGACTGAACTGCAGGAAAAGTTGAGAGATAAGTTCAGTTTAGTTAAGGTTACTGTCTTTTCTCTCTAATTATTTCTGTTACGACATGCTTGTCACTGTGTACTATTGTATTTCTATAAGCTCCGAAGAAGAAAACACTGTTAGCCATAGAATGAAACCTTCAAGCCTGTGTTTATTTCTGATATATACATGCATATTCAAATAGAGAAAGTTTTCATAACGTCTATACATATGTTCTTGGCAAGAGATAGTCACTAGGTATATATAACTTGAATCATAGAGACTCCACTTTTATCTTTAGCTCCTGTTACCTTGAGGATTCATGTTTGCTGTTTCTTCTGAAATACTTTGGTACCTTGGCCTAAAAGGCCAAATATTCCCGAGCTGCATCCACCTTGGACGCCTTCTTTCAGGTATGTCTTCTCTAATAGCATCGCCCCTTCCCCGAGATTCTGTAACGGTGTTGACAGGTGGCAGATCACGGCGGCAGATTGGGCAAGAATTGTGAAGCCTGAGCCATGGGGTTATACAATTGTTATGGTAAATATGTTTACATGGTAGTTCTGTTGCTTCCCCACCAACAGTGAATTCCTCCATGCACACCGCGCACTGGGACATGTCGTTGGTTAGATGTTGTGGTGTAATCTTCACGGTCGGTAGCGCATCAATGATGGGTTCTGATGCAGGTGGTGGTCCAGGCCTATCGTCTTGTGTTAGCTGTTCAATAAGCTGCTCTAAACCGGATGCTCCAGTAAAGAAATCATGTGGGTTCAACCGCTGTTGCGGTGCTGGATTTGGTGGCTCAATTATGTTTCCAATTGGATTAGTTGGACCAATGGGCCGGAGTATTACATATGTTCGTCTAGGTGGTAAACCACCATTGTTGTTATTGTCAAGGCTGTGGCGGCGTCGATGGTGCGGTCGAGGGCTTGGTTCAGGTTCCGTATTTCTTGATCTTGCCCTCTGAAAAGGGTCTGAACCGAGTCCACCTCTGACTGGAGGATCAAACATGAGCGATAGAGCTTCGAGAAGACGAGTCTCAGGATAAGCATCAAAAGGCGGAGCAGCATGATTGAAAGCAAGTCGAGGCCGTCTCATCTCAATCTCGAGGACAAATTGCCTCAAGCATCGAGGGCACGCGATTTCTGATAGGTTAGAGGATGCAATCCTGACTGTACGATGACAATGGTAGCACCAGTAGAGGCCAAAAGTCCTAAATGCTCCATTGGGTGGACCATCGGTCCGTGTTATGGGCAGACTCAGTGACATGATTAGAAGAAAGAACTATTATACACAACACATACAAATATTTACAGATTATATAGATAAATTTTAGAAGGTTACCTGAAGCAATTGAGATTCTGTTAAAATAAAGGTCTTGTTTTCTTTGGAAGGTATCAGATGGTTGAAGACGCCATGCAAAGCTCATTTTTTTATAATTTTATTCTTAAAGATTGCCTCTTTTAAAGGCTAGAATCATTTCTCGGATCCATTTATTTAAGGCCCTGGCATGTTAAAGGATATTGGCCTTATTTATTAATTACAGTCTCGAGGGAACAATCTTTAAGCAAGTAAACATAAAATATGATCATGCAGTATTCCTTATTTTGATTTTTGGATAGAATATGACTAGGGTCCTTAAAGTGTTTTTGCTAACAAAATTTTATTGTTGAATTAATGTTATTATACAATAACATAAAATGATTATCTTTTTAATATAGTTAGTCACCATAATCTATAATCTACATAGCCAAGGATGATACAATTAATTAAGTTAGTCAAGCATGTAAATATATATCTATTTAATCATGTTATTTTCTGGATGTTATTCTCTGGAAACTTTTTCTGTAGAAAATCCATTGTGGCACACGATGTGTGAATACATGATCAACAAACATAGGTCAGTTCTAAAAGAATTGAGAAGAGGAGAAGAAATACGCTAAGTTTACAGAGAAATATGTTACGTTTAAGTCACGGTAAAGAAATTCAAGAGATAAGAAGTGGCCATTAGCAATTCAGTCAAGGAATTCAGATATATGATCATAAACAATGTTTGTATTACGTGTCTACTCATTTGTGTAAATAAAGGTAGTTTATCACACAATACATAAGTATTTGCATGCTCCACCTAGAATGAGGAGCATAAATATCATCAAAAAAACCGTTATGATAGTTATAAATATGCTGATGTTAGAATGCTAGAGATCGAAACTCTAGGTATGATAATTACCACAACTAATATATTTTAAGTTACCAGTTCAGATTTTAATTATTTATCATGATTAAAAATTTGAAATATTTTAATTATGATTTTAAATACAGGTTTTAATTATTTTATTCAATATATATGATTTTTCTTTAATAATCTATTTATATGTTAATTTACTTTTTATTGTTACTAAAAATATGATCTATTTTCTAAACTTTTTCTTGTTAATAAGTTACTTATAATTTAGAATTTCCTAATAACAACAAAAACGAAATTAATTGACATTTAGAAATTTTCTTTAAAATAATAAAATTAATTAATTTTAATATACAATATATAATTAACTATAGATGATGATGTGTACCAATAGAATGAATCTTTTAAATCATATGTGGATACCCTTAGAGGCATTTATCATCAACTTTTATTAGTAACTAGGTGTTTCTCCGCACCTTGTGCGGGGTTCGATTAAAAAATTTCAAAAGTAATAACATTAGTTTATTTATAGATATAAAATCATATTTTATAATTATTCAAAACCAAAATTAATATACTTGAAGAAATACAATTTCTATGAGTATATTTGTTTTTGTGATAAAGTAAAAGTAAAATATATTATTTATATCTTATAATCTAATATCTTTTATATCATCCGATAAAAACTTATATGTATGCTTTGTTGTTTTATTGCATTTATCAAACATAATAAACAATTCTCTTCTTTTGGTGTAAATTGGTAGATTAAGATTATAGAATTCAAAGGTTGCTTAAAAAATATATAGCAATCTAAAATGACCAAAACCAAAGGATCCTTGTTACATATCAATTTAACATTAATTAATATATATATAGAATTTTAAAAAGGTTTAAAGGATTTAGGGTTTTACTTGTGGCCGCATAAATAAATTGGGTTAGTCAAAAATATTAGTAGGTTAAACAATCAAAATAAAATTAGTTTAAAGAAATAATTAGGATTATTTTTTGTGATTTATGTTAGTTGTCTTTTTTTAGTAAACTGAATATTTTTATGATACAAACTCAATATTTAAAAAACAAAATCAATTAAAAATTAGATTATATTAATTTGTTAATTTCATTAAGGGTAAATAAAATATTTTAATATAAGGGCAAAGAGTAATTAACTATCATAACTTTCACCCACAATCCAATTTGCTTTTCAATTAATAATATGATAGACAAGGTATATAACTCGCGCTACGCACGAGTCTGTATTAATAGTTTGGTTTAATTTTTTTTAGCTACTATCTTTAAAATTATTAAAACTATAATATATTTCTAGAAATTTTCATTTATGTGTAATTGTTTCCTATTTTTATTTATAAATTTTAAAAAATATTAGAAAAAATATTAACAATGACATCTATTGAGTTATCCAACTTTGACGTACATATACATTTGATTTAGAGAAATATTTTCTTGCTAAGATTTTGGTATTATTTTCTGTTTTCCATAGAATTTCTATAGTTCTTTTTTTCTTGAAGGTTTATGTGTTCACATATTTAGTTGTTCTTATTGAAAGTCTTATTGATGTTGTGTACCACTGCATTTATAATCCATAATTCATGTTGATTCACATTTAATTTTGTTAGGAAGCTGCAATGATCATGCAAAACCATTTTTTTCCTTTTCCACCATGTCTTCCAAGAGTTTTATGTTATATTTTTATTTAGTTTTCATTGATATCTATTTTTGATAATTTTAATTTTTTAACTTGTAGGATCGGTGGTGTGGAGTCTTTGCATTACTTTTTACTGTTTTTATCTTTTGTGTGCAATATGCATGAATTAATTTGAATATTTCATTTAAATATAGCAATTTGAGTTTGATTCATAACTATGTTATATTTTATTGTTTTATAGAATTTTAGAATGTGTTATTGATGTTGATTTATATATAAATAGTGACTATGTATAGAAATCATATTTTCCTACTTGTTAAATATCGAGTGTAAAGTTATTAAGGTGTTTTTATTTGTTAATTTTTAAATCAGAAATATCAATTGTATTAACCATTGTTTTATTTTTATTTTTTTGATAATTTACATCTTTTGATTGTAGTTTTTATTTATTTTAATTTATATACTTTTTGTATATTTAATATACTTAGAACTTATATTCTTTTTATTAAGCTATTTTGTTGTTGATTTTCCAAATAGGTATCATAGACATCACATTAATTTCATTTATACAAATACTTTTTCTTAGTTAAAATTTTTTTATATTAATTTTAATTCTAGTCATGATGCTAATTTTATATACTCTAACTATTGAATTTAAATTTTAGATGGACATTTCTAAAAAGCTTATAGCATCATTTGTTTATTTTTGTTAAGTTTTTTATATGGATTTTCAAAATCTTTTGCCCAAGTTAGTTTTCTTTTATATGACCGTTTCTTTTGTTAATTTGCCTCTTTTGATAATGATTCCTACTTTATTTTGAAACATAAATTTATAACATGTTGAAAGCTAAAAAGTCTTTTAATAAAAACATGTTTAATTTCCCATTGTATCATAATAGCTTAAAAACAGTTTGATTTCATATCTAAAACGCAATAGGAAATTAAAGTATGGTGATGTATATGCATGTGAGCTTACTTATCATGTCAAATAGTCAGTATGCTCAGTAGTTGCTTTAATATTTTTGTCGGAAAAAACCAGGAGGAAGAAGTGGAGCTCAAAAATAATACTTTTACATGATGCAATTTAAAGTATGGTGTTAATAGTTAAATAAATATTATTCTCTAATTTATTTCAGGATTCATCATGTTTTCATAAAGAATAGTAAAACAATGGTAATTATAGGTTTGAGATTACGAATCTTGAAATGTTTTTGGGTTCATAATTGTGGCTAGGAGCACGGCATGTTTAACAACACTTTTCATTATTTTTCTTTGAAAATTGACAGAAAAGTAACACGAAAATTGGCCCACTGTTTAGAAAATGTAAAAGGCTGGTAATTAAACATAGATTGTATTCCAGATCAGGATATATATAAATAACTTGTTGGAAAAACATGCTTATCTTTATAAATTTTAATTGCAAGTGAACATTTATTTTACTATGACATTCACCATTGGCAATATCATTAGCTTAACTGAGCAAAAAAAGTTCTTGTTGTTGATGATGATCAGTTTTCTAAAGCATCTAGACAGTATATATCATTAATATATATTTGTATATGTGCAATGCAGTTTTTAATATAATTATATTATCTATTTGTTAATTAAGCTTTTTTGTGGATTTTTTCATCTATAAAACGAAATTATTTTTTTTTCCGTTTCTTGTCAATTAGTTTAGATGTTAGAATTTTCCTAATCTACATTATAAGTTTGATCTTTTGTGATATTGGTTTTTTTGGTTAGTTTATCTCTTTTGATTTATTTTAAAGAATACTTTTTTTTTTTTAACATAATTTGCTTTTCTATTTGTTAGTGAAGCCTTTTTTATTTTAATTTTTTCATCTATAAAATAAAATGAATGTTTTGAATTTTGACGGATGCTATATTTTGGTTTTTTTTAATATAATTTTCTTTTCTATTTGTTGCTTATGCTTTTGGTATTTTAATTTTTCCATCTATAAAGTGAAATCAATCTTTTATATTTTCTGGTTAATAAATTTAGAAGTTAGAATTTTTATAATATATATTATAAGTTTGAACTTTTATGATATTGGTTTTTTTTCTTTGTTTAACTCTTTGAAAACAAATTTCTATTTTCTTTTTAAGGATACTATTTTTTGGTTTTTTAACATAATTATATTTTCTATATGTTATTTGAACGTTTTTATTTAATTTTCCATGATTAAAACGAAATGAAAGTTTTAATCATACTTAATATTTTTTTAATGAAAATTGCGATGTGGACCAACCATATCAAGTTTTTTAATCATATGTGGACGTCCTCATTTTTTTGTCAATTAATTTAAAAGTCAGAATTTTCCTAATCTACATTATAAGTTTGAGCTTTTATGATATTTTTTTTTGTTGCTTTATCTCTTTTGAAACAAGTTTCCATTTTATTTTGAAAAATACTATTTTTTT